TATATATATATATATATATATACCTTTCTCCTCCTGTTTGTATTTGTTGATAGCTTTGGGAGAAGCTTTCTTCTTAAACAAAACTCATAAAGTAAATATAAACCCTCTAAACTAGCAACTAGCATCAACTTTCTAGGGTTTAGGGTTTAGGGTTTAGGGTTTAGGGTTTATATATTTATACACACCTGCCTCCACCTGTTTGTATTTGTTGATAGCTTTGGGAGAAGCTTTCTTCTTGAACAAAACTCATATAAAGTAAATATAAACCCTATAAACTAGCAACTAGCATCTGCTTCTAGGGTTTCCTTTCTAGGGTTTAGGGTTTAGGGTTTACGTTCTAGGGTTTAGGGTTTACCTGCCGCCACCTGTTTGTATTTGTTGATAGCTTTGGGAGAAGCTTTCTTCTTGAACAAAACTCATAAAGTGAATATAAACCCTATAAACTAGCAACTAGCATCTACTTCTAGGGTTTCCTTTCTAGGGTTTAGGGTTTAGGGTTTAGGGTTTAGGGTTTATATACCTTCCTCCTCCTGTTTGTATTTGTTGATAGCTGTTGGAGAAGCTTTCTTCTTGAACAAAACTCATATAAAGTAAATATAAACCCTATAAACTAGCAACTAGCATCAACTTTCGAGGGTTTAGGGTTCTAGTAACTAGGGTTTAGGGTTTAGGGTTTAGGGTTTATATATAAATAAATACCTTCCTCCTCCTGTTTGTATTTGTTGATAGCTTTGGGAGAAGCTTTCTTCTTGAACAAAACTCATAAAGTGAATATAAACCCTATAAACTAGCAACTAGCATCTGCTTCTAGGGTTTCCTTTCTAGGGTTTAGGGTTTAGGGTTTACGTTCTAGGGTTTAGGGTTTACCTGCCGCCACCTGTTTGTATTTGTTGATAGCTTTGGGAGAAGCTTTCTTCTTGAACAAAACTCATAAAGTGAATATAAACCCTATAAACTAGCAACTAGCATCAACTTTCGAGGGTTTAGGGTTCTAGTAACTAGGGTTTAGGGTTTAGGGTTTAGGGTTTATATATAAATAAATACCTTCCTCCTCCTGTTTGTATTTGTTGATAGCTTTGGGAGAAGCTTTCTTCTTGAACAAAACTCATAAAGTGAATATAAACCCTATAAACTAGCAACTAGCATCTACTTCTAGGGTTTCCTTTCTAGGGTTTAGGGTTTAGGGTTTAGGGTTTAGGGTTTATATACCTTCCTCCTCCTGTTTGTATTTGTTGATAGCTTTGGGAGAAGCTTTCTTCTTGAACAAAACTCATAAAGTGAATATAAACCCTATAAACTAGCAACTAGCATCTGCTTCTAGGGTTTCCTTTCTAGGGTTTAGGGTTTAGGGTTTACGTTCTAGGGTTTAGGGTTTACCTGCCGCCACCTGTTTGTATTTGTTGATAGCTTTGAGAGAAGCTCTCTTCTTGAACAAAACTCATATAAAGTAAATATAAACCCTCTAAACTAGCAACTAGCATCTGCTTCTAGGGTTTCCTTTCTAGGGTTTAGGGTTTAGGGTTTAGGGTTTATATATATATATAAATATAGATAAATACCTGCCGCCTCCTGTTTGTATTTGTTGATAGCTTTGGGAGAAGCTCTCTTCTTGAACAAAACTCATAAAGTGA